CTCGGATTAAGCGGTAATAAGCCAAATTGAGAGGGATTAAGCGGGATTAAGCCGGATTAAGCGGGATGAAAACTTATGAAGCCGTATATCGGACCAGGGCAAAATCAGAATTTGACCTCCCAAGAGTTGCATCCGAAGAGTATGTACTCCCTCCCTCCTCCTCTCCCCGCGAAGGGGGTCCGCACGGCTCACCCACGGCCCGCAGGCCGAAAATGGCGAAGGGCCTTCCGCCGCGTCTCTTGCCACGCCTCGAGAAAGGGCCTGGGCCCCGCGGCGGGACGGACCGACCTCCGCTCGCATTGGACCCCCGTCTCCTGAGCCCCAACGGGCGGGCGCTCCCTGCGCGCTGGGGAGCGGACCCACCAGCGTTGAGCAGGGACCGACCGTCCCGGCCTTCCTGTAGGCCTACAGTGCGGGCGCGGCCGCAAGAAACCCTCGCAAGAAACCCAACCCTGAAAACCAGCGCGCGAGGTGCACCTGAAGGGAAACACGGAGCACCCTGAACGCAGGCCGCTCCTTCCCCAGCTGCGGAAAGCCACCGCGCGGCGCGCGGAGCGAAGAAACCCAGGATACACTGACGAAAAACATATGGTTTCTTGATGTGCGCCCCCACTGCATCACGACATATTCTTAGAGCCCAAACATGTTCTAACAACAAGAACAATGCTCTCAGAGCATACAGTGAGCGGCTTGAATAAGGAACACTTACTCTTCAAAAGGGGCTCGGGTCGTTCCTTAGGCTTGCATGCGCTATTTGTCCTTCCTGATGTGTTCTGTCTTAATGCGTCGTTCCTTATGCGTTAGTCCTTGGACAAAAAGGGCTTCGTTCCTTATTCATCGTTCCTTTGGTCAGGCCGATGACTGTAAACCCGACGTGCTAAAACAATACAGCCTCGGCCAGAAATGGTCTAAGAACAGTTCGTGCAAACCACAGTAAAAAGTTCTTACAACATCCTTTGGCAGGCCTTTGGGCGAGCCAGGACGCTTCGCCACTGCTCGAACCAGGAGCGGAGCGGCAGCGCCGAGGAGCTCTCTTGGAGGCGTCCTGAGGCGGCCTCGTCGCTGCTGCCGGGCCCGCCGGGGGCGGGTCGGGGGGCCGATGCTGGGGGGGAGGGTCCGAGTCGGCCCACGGCGCCCCGTGAGAGCACGACTGGCCGCTTTTTGGGCGTGAGCGAATGGAGGGGCGATAATCGGGGAACGAACAATGACAGAATCATAAAAACTCAGTGGTCCACGCGGATTTCTCGGATCGGCGCTGGGACCCCCTGGCGCGCTCCGCGAGCCAGGGAGGGGGGTCCAGCGCGGATCCAAGAAACCCGCGCGGACCTCTGGTTTATGATATTTATGCCACTTTCCGGTTCCCTAGATAAAGCGGGGGAAGAAAGGTGCACTTCTCGGGCCCTGAAGGCCCCCATGTGGTGCCCTGAAAGGCACATTTGCTGCAGCCCACGCAGCCCCTCCAATTGAGTCGCACCCCATCCCCATTATACGCGGAGCCCAAGCCCTTCTCAGATCAAAATTCTGCTGCCCGCGTCATAAAACACGATAAAAAGCGCACACACGTCTTCAGCTTGGGCCTCCGGGGGGAGCGCGGGGCCTGGGATCATCAGAAGACGACCTGGAGCGGGGACGGGATCGAGAGCCCTGGGGCCTGCGTCATGGAGCGACCACGACGTCACAGGCCTGGGGCGGGATGCCCTTCCTGTCTGGTGTCCTTCCCGCCTCGAGTACAACAAAAAACTCGAGTGCGATACAGTGCGATAAACAACTGCCATGTCAAACAAACTCGAGTACCGCAGCTTTGTCCGTCGCAAGTATTTACCGCACATGAGCATCGCAGTTGGAAACGAGGTATGCGTCGCGGCTATACATGGCACCTTCGCGCCTCGCGCCGCGCGAAGCGGCGCCGCCCCCCCTCGAGAGGGGGGGCGGCTCTGCAGCTCTGCAGCTCTGCAGCCGCCGCGCGCGAGGCGCGGTCGTCCGTCCGCGCTCCCGCTGGTGACCCGGGTGGGCTCGTGAGGCCCCCCCCCCTCCCCCTCCGCAGAGGGCAGCGACAAACCACCAGGATGCCCGGCCAGCGCCATCCCCGGGCCCCGGCGCGGTGCCATGCGCCCTCGTGGCCGAAGCCAGGGGGGGAGAGCATGCTATGCGCAGTGGAATGGAGTCAATGATAAGATGAGCGATGAGGCTGTGCTGCCTCATTTGCCTCTGCGCATCCTCGCCACAGGTCGACCCCCCCCTCTCCACCCCACATCGCGCCGTACCCCGCCTGGGCCACCCTCGGACCTCCTCGGCGGGCCGCTGCAGGCGGCAGGAGGAGCCCGCGGACCCGAAGACCGCTGGTGGAGGCCAGTCCACAAGAAACCTTCCACAAGAAACCCAACCCTGAGACCCCAGGGCGGCCATGGAATTTTGGTGTGGGAGCGTCACGCTTTCCATAGCAAAACCATCGAAACCAAAGAAACCCAGGGCACCCTGGAGTCAAGCAGGATGTTTCTTGGCACGGGCCTCCACTGTACGATTTTTTCAGATTCGCCGCACCAGAGGTCCCGACGCATTCCCCGGGAGAGGTTTTTCGTCCCAGATCCATGTTTCAGGGCCCTGCGGCCCGACAACGGGCCCGGGAGGCCGAAATCCAGGAAAAAACGTCGGATCGAAAGCATCATATCCTCGGATCTCTGGGCGGCGGCGAGCGAGGGGGGAGGAAATGAGCAGGAGAAGGCCTTCTCAGAAGGCGGCGGGACTTCTCAGAAGCCCTCCCGCCTTGTGAGAAGTCCTGTACGTCTGCGGGGAATGCTCAGGAACCTGATCAGAAGGCCGGGGAACTTCCGAGCCTTCTGAGAAGGCCCGGCCCCGTCTCTGGAAGGCCCCCCCGGGCCTCGTAGTCCTCCTCCTCCTCCTCCTCCTCCTCCTCCTCCTCCTCCTCCTCTCCTCCTCCTCCTCCTCCTCCTCCTCCTCCTCCTCATCCTCCTCCAGGGCCTCCTCGCCCCCCCCCCCCGGGCTGGCCGCCGATCTGGGGGGGGGGGCGCTCGCTCTCGCTCGCCCTGCGAGGGCGAGGCAGCGGTTTGCCCCCACTTCCACGGAGGGGCGCGCGTGCGCCACCCCCCCGACAGGCGGAGCCGTCGGTAAGCGCACCGAGGGGGCAAAGATTCGAACAGGCCAGGGCTATGCAGTAAGCACCCAGGGCCGTTTAGTAAACGCCAGTTGAGCGTCGGGGTCTGGGTGGCTGTTCCTCTCTTGATAGGCGTGGCGGCGGCGAACGGGTGCCTTTTGTGGCGGCGCGCAGAGGGGGTAGGGGGAGAGGGGGGAAGTTGTTTGACTCTCGCTCTCGGCCCTCAACCCCAGGCCCTCTCGAGTCAGGAAAAAATCATGGCGGAGAGTTTTCGCTATTTCCGGCCTGCGGGGGAGACTTCCCCGGCCTCGGGAACGTCAAAAAACGACTCGGGATGAGAAACTGGTCCCAGGGGATGTTGGCGGCGCGCGCAAGGGGGTAGGGGGAGGTGGGAAGGCTTCATGGAAGAAGACTGCTTCTTAGAAGGCGTCGGCCTTACGTCTACAGACAAGGCCGACGCCTTCTAAGAAGCATGGGTGCTTCTCAGGAGCCTTGCCCCCTCCCCCTACCCCTACCCCCTCTGCGAGTGGCCGACCTCTGCCAGAGGCCTCCTCGATGGGTTCGGAGTAGATGGGGTCGGAGGATCGCGCCGCATCATCGTCGATGCGTCGCCGATACATCGGCGACGCATCGGTGAGGCATCGTGACGTCGTCGATGCATCGGCGGCGCCAGCGTGGAGAAAATCGGGCTCCACATCGAGCCGCCTCGCGGATGCATCGGGAATCCAGCGCGATACTCCGAACCCATCTACTGAGACCCCATCCGGGATGCCTAGATCTGCGCACCCATGCCCCCGCCACGCCCCATCATGAATTCTTCAACGTCGACCCACAGAGGTCAGTCAGGCTTTGCAGGATCCTGCAAGATCCTGCAAGATCCTGCACCCAAACACGGGTCAATGCAAGATCCAGCGCTCTGACTCACCCCCGTTTGCATTGACCCCCGTCCCTTGAGCCCCGACCCATTCCCGGGGACCGGCCTCTCACCCGGAGTCGTTCTGTGACGGCCCCGAGGCCCGACGAGGGCCCCACCCCCGAGGCCAAAATTCGTGCAAAACCTTCCGCCGTGATGCTTGTCACGACTCGAAGGGGCCCAGGCCCCGCGGCGAGTCCTGGGAGGCGGCGGCGGGCCAGGCTGCACGCGGTCCAGCGCCGGCGTGGGGGCGCCCGCCCGCGCCGGGCCGGACGCGGGCGGCGAGGGCCCTGGGCGCGCCGAGCCGCGGGGAGGCGGCGGCGGCCCGAACTCCAGGGAGTCCGGCGCGGGCACCGGGGAGCCGGACACGCCCGTGCCAGAGGCCGGCGTCGCCGGGCCCGGGCGCGCGGAGCCCCGCGCGGGCGGCGAGGGGCCCGGGTGCGAGGGGTCCTGGGGGAGCCAAAAGGTACCTATAGGCCGCTGCTCCCCGGACCTCTCCCGGGGTGCGTTCTGACCAGGATTTCGAGGCGAATCCGACCGAGGAGGCCCAAAAAAGGGAAAACGAGGAAAGGGTAGAGGTAGGGGTACCTTTTCCTCCTCTGGGGTCCGCGGCCAGCGACGAGGCGCCGAGGCGGGCCAGGCCAGAGGCGGAGGACGCAGAGCCCCCGCGCGCGGGCGCCCGGGTCGGCGGCGGCGGGCCGGAGTGCACGGAGTCCGCTGCGGGCGTCGGGGCTCCAGGGCGGCCCGTGCCGGAAGCCAAAGGGGCCGAGCCGGCGCGCAAGGGGTTCCTGCGAGTAGGGGGCCGGCGACAGAATTGACGTGCCCCAGACTTGACTTTCCCGCCGAGTCCGCAGAAAAATGCGTGTAGTGTCCCGTAGATCTACGAGCATCCTCTGCGCGTTTCGTGTGTATACTCGGCGGGAACATCAGCTTCGGAGTATAGTACGATTCTGCAGCTGGTCCCCTGCCCGGTTCCTGGGAGGCGCGCTGGAGCCCGCGTGAATGGGGTCGGATACGGGCGTGGGCGGGCCGGAGCGCGACGTGCCCCAGGCGGAGGGTGAGGGCCCTGGCCGCGCCGAGGTGCGCGGCGGCGGAGGGGCTCCCGCCTGCGGCCCATGTCTTTTGCATGCACGGGCCCCTCCGTCTTCGTCGTCGCCCTCGCCTGCTTCGGTGGCAACTCGTGGGAGCCTGTCATGCCATCTTGTCAGCTTCTGCACATCAACGCTAATCGATGCTAGTCGACGCTAATCGACACTGAATCGACGCTGATCGTCGCAAACCGCTTCTGCACATCAATGCTAATCGATGCTAGTCGACGCCAATCGACACTCAATCGACGCTAATCGACGCAAACCGACGCCTCTCAGACGCTAATCGACGCTAAAGACGAAATTACGAGGGAATACAAGGATCCCATGATTTGCTACCGAAGCCTGCTGCAGCAGTCTCCTCCTGCTCGCATACATGTAGGGCGGCACATATTTCCATGTATCTCTATATATATATATACACACACATGTCCACTGCTCTCTGGCCAGGCCCATCTTGAACCCAGCAGCGGTGTATGCGCCACGCCCTCCTGGCTCGGCCAGGAAGACGTATACAGAGCTCATGGGCCCAAGAAAGGCCCAGCCAGGGGGGCCGTGGATATGTACAGACTCCATGGCCCGAATCTGCCCACCCACCCCGAGCAGCTCCTCCTCGTCTCGTCACCGGACGTGTCGGCAGGGCAGTCTGGGACTTGGGCCTGGGCAAAGCGGTCTGGGAGCTGGGTCTGGCATCGCACGTCTGCCCGGGTGCTGGAGGCACGGGCCAAGTTTCGGGGGCGGACAAACCTCCCTTGAGTAAACCTCCCCTTAGTGAAAACGGCCTAGGACCGAAACCGACGGACCTGGACCCGCCATAGTGACCGCCGCGACGCCCTCTCGCGAACCGAGAGCGGCCAACTCCTTCATCGACGTGTCAGGGTAGGAGGTCTATCCACCTCCGGAAGTGTACTCCCCCCGAGTTCCAGATTTGGCACTGCCCGCGGGCCGATCGGGAGCAGCGCAGCGTCTCGCCTGACGTGCCAACGTCCCAAGGAGGTCCACGGGCGGAGGCCTATGTGGTCTTCACAGCGTGGCTACCTATACCCGACCACCCCACCCCAACCCGAAGACCCGAATTTCGGGTTGGGGGGGGGGGTATGGGCTCCATGTGTATTTTTTCGATGTTCCCCGACCCCTCCCCCCACTGGAGATGGAGGGCAAATTGCGGCCTTCGGGTTGGGTTGGGGCGGAGGGCGCGTGGTCTTCACAGCGTGGCTCCCGCCCGAAGCCCCCTCGGCATCTGTCGGATGGGCGCTTTGAAGTTGCCGAGAGAGCTCCTCGGACGGGGGGCTGCTCGCTCTCGGGGTCTGGACTTCAAAAGAGTGCTACTCGCAGCGTGTGTGACCGGAAGCTCGGTGCTTCCAGCAGCTAGACGGACGGAGGGCGGGTGGTTTTCAAACTCGAGTGAGATAAAAAAACGAGTGTGAGTGTTTGTTGTATCACACTTGTTGTTTGAATCACACTTGTGTGTTATCACACTTGTTTTTTGTCACAGTTTTTATTATAATGCCGGCTGAAACTGTCTGCCAAATTGGGTCCTGTAATCCGCCACAGTGCACCATGCCCAGGTCCCCGACGTCATGATCTGTTCATAACATCGACCACTAGAGGACTCGACCCATTCCCTTGGGCCAGTTTCTCACCCTGAGTCGTTTACGCACGGTCCCGAGGCCATGTAAGGACCCCCAGAGGGCGAAAATAGCGACAAAGCCTCCCGCCAGGATTATCTCATGACTCGAGCGGGTCTGGGCGGCACGTTGAGGCGCAGTAGAATGCCAAGTGTGGTCAGGTTTCTGCAAATCTTCAACAAAGGACACCCCTTCTCCCGAGGCTCCCTAGGCGGCCCGGCGCCTCCGAAGGGCTGTGCAGGCACTCCAGGGCTTCAAGGACGGCCCAGGAAGGCCACCAAGACCACCAAGAGGGCACAACATTGCCTCAAGACGTACCCACGCCCCCTCAAGAGCGCCCAACGGGCGCCAAGGGCCCCCCAAGAGGCGCCCGCGAGGTCCCAAGACACCCCCAAAACCGTCTCAAATAGGCTGCCGAGAGGACTGCCAAGAGATCCACGCAGGCATCCAAGAGGCCTTCCAAGAGGCCTCTGACCGACGACCTGGGCACGCGCCGATCGGCAAAATAATGAATAAAAAACGATCACCTTCGGTTTGCCACGGGGTGCACGGCGTGCTGGATGTTTGGTTGCTCGGATCCTTTTTAACAAAATTCTCCATGGGGTCTTGGCCGATGTCGCCGGCCATCCGGAGAGCCCTGGGCGGCTCGGGATGAGTTTGTCCACCGCCGGCCTTCCCAGGCAAGACGGCCCCAAGATGGCCTACAAGAAGGATCAGGTGGCCCCAAGACAGTCCCAAGACGCCTCCAAGACGGCCAAGACGGCCCCCAGACGGCCCAAGATGGCCCCAAGACAGCCTCAGAGACCCCCAAGACGCCCCAAGAGGGCTCCACAATTTTTCCTCAGGCGTATGACTGTAGCCTTCTGGCCTTTTCGGGCTTCCGCCTATGCAAGAAGGACCCAGAAGCCCCCAAGACTGCGCCAAGACGGCCCCAGAGGCTCCCAAGAGGCCAGCAAGACCGCCCAAGAGGGCCCCAAGACGGTCCATAGGGCCCCAAGCTTGGGCTCCAAGAGGCCCCAAAGGCCCCTATAAGGCCGCACGAGGCCCCCAAGAGGCCCCGGGAGGCCCCCCAGGGGCCACTCAGAGGCCCCCAAGCCCCCAGGAAGACCACAGGAGGCCCAAAAAGGGCATCAAGAGGCCTCTTGTTCTTCTTCCTCCTGCTCCTCCTCCTCCTCCTCCTCCTCCTCCTCCTCCTCCTCCTCCCCCTCCTCCTCCTCCTCCTCCTCCTCCTCCTCCTTCCTCCTCCTGCCCTGCTCCTGCTCCTGTCCTCCTCCTTCCTCCTCTCCTTCCTCCTCCTCCTCCTCCGCCTCCTCCTCCTCCTCCTCGCCTCCTCCTCCTCATCCTCCTCCTCCTCCTCCTCCTCCTCCTCCTCCGCCTCCTCCCTCCTCCTCCTTCTCCTCTCTCCTCCCTCCTCCTCCTCTCCCTCCATCCCCTCTCTCCCACCCTCCCTCCCTCCTCATCATCATCATCATCACCATCATCACCAGAAACGGAATCGGAATCATCACCACCACCATCACAATCAGCATCACCATCACATCATCATCATCACAATCATCAACAATAGCATCGCCAGCATCATCATCATCATCATCATCATCATCATCATCATCATCATCATCATCATCATCATCATCATCATCATCATCATCATCATCATCATCATCATCATCAGCATCAGCATCATCATCATCATCAGCATCATCAGCATCAGCAGCAGCATCATCATCATCATCATCATCATCATCATCATCATCATAATCATCATCATCATCATCATCATCATCATCATCATCATCATCATCATCATCAGCAGCATCAGCAGCAGCAGCAGCAAGAGCATCATCAGCATCAGCATCAGCACCATCATAACCATCAGCATCATCATCAGTATCAGCATCGTCATTATCAGCATCAGTATCATCGTCGTCATCGCCACCATCATCAGTATCAGCAGCATCGTTGGTATCATCATCAGCACCAGCATCAGCATCATCATCACCATCATCAGCAGCAGCATTATCATCAGCATCATCATCAGCAGCAGCAGCATCAACAACAACAATCAACATCCTAACCATCATCGTAATCAGCATCAATAGCCTCATCAGCATCCGCATCAGCATCCATATCAACATCAGCATCATCACCATCATCATCATCGGCAGCATCGTCATATTCATCTTCAGCTGAATCAGCAACGTCAGCAGCATCATCAGTATCATCATCATAATGTTCATCATCAGCATCAGCATCAGCATGAGCATCATCATCCTCATCGTCATCGTAGTCGTCACCGCCGTCGTCGTCATCATCATCATCGGCATCACTATCAGCATCACCAGTAGCATCATCGTCGTCATCAGCATCGCCGTCGTCGTCATCAGAGGCAGCATCAGCATAAACACATCAGCATCGTCGCCAGCATCTCCAGCATCAGCAGCAGCAGCACCAGCACCATCATCATCATCATCATCATCATCATCATCATCATCATCATCATCAGCATCATCAGCAGTGCCATCAGCATCGTCATCACCACCACGATCATACCTACCATCAACATCAACATCACCATCAGCAGTATCATCAGCATCGTCATCATTACCATCATCAACACCAACATCAGAATCGTCAGCATCACCATCATCAGCAGCAGCATAATCGTCATAATCTTCAAACCCATGTGGCTCTGCTCATGTTTCACCGCCAGAACCCTCATCATCATCATCAGCAGCAGCATCATCATCAGCATCATCACCATCATTATCATCATCATCAGCAGCATCATCATCGGTGACATCAACGTCATTATCATCATTATCAACATCATTTGTATCATCATCACCAGCATCAGCATCATCATCATTGTCATCAGCAGCATCATCATCATCTGCAGCAGCAACAGCAGCAACATCAGCATCAGCATCAACATCACCAACATAGCCGTCATCATCATCATCATCAGAATCATCATCATCATCATCATCATCATCATCATCATCATCATCATCATCATCATCGTCATCATCGTCATCCTCATGATCATGAGCAGCAGCAGTAGCATCATCGTTATCATCAGCATCATCATCAGCAATATCAGCATAAGCATCGGTGTCATCATCGTCATCAGCAGCATCATCAGCATCAGCAGCATCAGAATCATGACCATCACCATCACGATCACCCTCACCATCATCAGCAGCAGCATCAATCATCATCACCACCACAATCATCATCATCATCATCATCAGCAGCAGCATCATCATCAGCATCAGCATCATCATCATAATCAACGTCATGCTCCGATTCCTCCTCCTCCTCCTCCTCCTCCTGCTGGTCCTTCTCCTCCCTCTCATCCTACATGATCTTTCTCTCCAAGGCGTTCCCCCAAGGGGGTCCACAACGGCTGGGCGAATGCATATTACTAGCTTGGTAAGACTTCGGCCCAACATTGAGCTTCGGAGGCGTTTTCATAAGGAAGGGGGTGACAGTGATTCGCCGTAGGATTTTTTGACACCATCACATCATTCAACTCTACTCTACGCCACTACGGAGGCATAGGATTAGTCTACGGCCGCGCAAACACTCAGTCCAAAGACTTCCCTGTCGCCTGGAGATCTCGCGACCTCGGGGCCTGGAACTATCAACCTTGTCGCTCCCTGACACCAGTCGCATGTGCGCGTCGATTTCCGAGGGACCCCGGGGCCCAGATGGGCAGCTGGCCGGGGGCTGAAACCGACGAGGTTAGCCTCGCGAGTCTGTTGTGACGCCCAATGTCAGGATACACGCTGACACTCTGACACCAGGACGCACCACCGTAGACCAGGGCTCGAGCTAAACAGTGTTGTTCGCTTTCGTCTTGCGTTCGGTATTCCTCGTTCTGCCTTCGTTCCGCCTTTGCTGCAAAACGAACTCGAAACGAAAACGGCCCACGAAATCGCCAAAACACCGTTCAGGTCGACCCCTGCGTGAAAAGTAACCCCCAGAGCGGTGGGCCGATGGGCGCACGAGCCCCCCATCGCGGCCCACCAGAGCGTCGTCCAGGGTCGACAGCGGGGGCTCGGAGTTCGCGACGCCAGAGGCGGACGGAGGCGGCCCGGGCCGCCCAGAGGCCCTCAGCAGCGGGGACGCCCCTGAGCCTGCCGCGTCGGACGCGGGCGGCACCAGGCCCAGCCGCGTCATCCCGGACGGCGGCGACGCTGGCCCGCACCGCGCGGAGCTGCGGGCTGGTGGGGACGCACCCAGCTCCGCGAGGTCAGGGGTCGGGACGGCTGCGCCTGCGCGCGAGGGGCTCCTCGGAGGAAGCGGGGGCCCAAAGAGCGAAGCGTCCAGCGCCGGGGGCGTCAGGCCAGAGCGCGCCATGCCAGAGGTTGGCGCCGCAGGCGCCAGGCGCGCGTGCGCCCGCGTCGGCACAGTGGGCCCGGAGTGCACGCGGTCCAGCGCGGGCAAAGCGGGCCCAGAGCGCACGGGGCCGTAGGTCGCGGGCGGGGCGCCAGACCGCCCGGAGTCCCGCGGCAGCGGCGAGGACCCTGGATGGATCGGGTCGGGTGCCAGCGCGGGCGCGCCCAGGCGCGACTGGCCGAAGGGGGCCGTCGCGGGGCCGAGGCGAGCGGGCGACCTCGGCGGCGACGACAGGCCAGGGTGCGACGTGTCGGAGGCCAGCAGCAGCGGCCCAGGCTGAGCGGTGCCAGACGCTGGCGCCAGTGGGCCTGGGCGCGCTGGGCCGCGCGGCGGCAGCGGTGGGCCCGTGTGGGAGCAGTCTGGGGTCGGCGCCAGGGGGCCAGAGCGGCTCGTGCCCCACGCAAACGCTGGCGACCCAGGGCGCGAAGATTGCCGGAGGGGCGGCGGAGAGCCCATGGTCACAGCGTCCAGCACCAGCGGGGGCGGCCCGGTGCGGGCGCCGCCGGACAGAGAGGCAGCTGCGCCAAGGCGAGCATGGTCCTGCGGCGGAGGCGGGAAGCCCAGATGCAGGGGATCCGGCGCTGCCGCGGGAGGGCCAGAGCGCGACGCCCCGAAGGCTGGCAGCAAAGGCCCTGGGCGACCCATGCTACGCAGTGGCAGCGTTGCGCCCAGCCAGGCACTGTCAGGAGCTGGCAGCGCATTGATCCCTAGCGTGCCTTTGATGGATGTACTCGGCCCTGGCCGCGCGTGCGACCGCACAGGTGTGGTGCTGCCAGAGTGGGCAAAGTCCAGCACGGCCATCGGAGGACCAGCCCGCATCGTCCCAGACAATGAGGCTGGCGGGCCAAGACGAGAAGGCTGCTGGGGTAGCGGCGAAGAACCCATGGTCGAGGCGTCCAAGGCAGGCAGTACAGAGCCAGGGCGCGACACTCCACAGGCCGATGACGTCGAGCCCAAGCGCGCGAGGTCCCTCGGAGAAGGCGGACTACCTGGCTGGATAATGTCGAGCGCCAGCAGCAGAGCCCCCGTGCGCGAAACCCCGAATGAGGGCAACGCCGAGCCCGTCCGGCTTGGGCCCCTCGGCGCCAGCGGGGCACCTGGGGACCAAACAACTCCACCCGCCTACGAGGCACGAGAAGGAAGAGATGAAGGGGAGCAGCAGAAGCAGCAGAAATTGCAACATCGCGAAAAATTGCGACCAGAGCGCTGGACACCCTCTTCCTGTCGCATTTTTCAAGACCGATCGATCTGTGAGGGTCCCAGGGCCTGAAACTGGGCGAAAACTCCCGGTGTACAAAAAATGCAGCGCGTGGATCTCAGGGAAGGTGCAGTGAGTGAGCTTGGGCCCGAGCATCTTTGCCCGCCCCCGGGCGCCAGACTGCGAGGAGTCGGGTGCGGCGAGTGCCGGGCCGGACTGCAGCGTGCCCGCGGTCGGCGTCGGCGACGCCGTGCGCGAGGGGCTCCGTGTCGGCGGCGTGGGCCCGAGGTGCAGGAGGTCCGGCGCCGGCGGCGGCGGGCCGCAGCGGGACAGACCCGCGGGCGGCGGCGTCGGGCCAGCGCGGAGGGGCTGCCGCGGCGGCGGCGGCGAGCCCAGCTCCGCGGCGTCGGGCGCGGTGGGCGGAGGCCCGGGCCGGGCCGTGCCGGAGGCGGGGGGCACGGATCCTGGGCGGATGCCGTCCCTGGGCGGCGGCGGGGGGCCCGGGTGGATGCTGTCCAGCGCCGGCGGCGGCGGGGCCGGGCGCGAGGCGCTCGTGGCCGGCGGCGTGGGCCCGGGGCGCGTGGGCTGGCGCGCCAGCGGCGAGGGGCCCAGCTGCACGGGGTCGGGCGCGGGCGGCGGGCTGCCGAACCTGCGGGAGGCTCCAGGCTCGACGAGGAGGGGGGGAGGAGCAGTGGAGGGGAGGGGGCGGGGGAAGGCGCGAGGGTCCGAGGGTCCCTCAAGGAGGGTGCCTATAAAGGAGTCCTCGGCCCCCACCGGTGGCCATTGACGCCGTCGTGGCAAGTCGGAGTGGGAACCCGCGCGGCCCCAATGATGTGAGCTGCGCGGGGTGTGAGGCCTATTGACGGTCGTTTGCCCAGCCGCACGTGCCCAATCAGGTGGCGAAGTTTTGCCCAAGGAGGGAGAGCCAAGAGGAGGGGGGAGGGGGGGGGAAGAGGGGGGAGAGGCAAGCTAGGTGCGCTCGCGCTTCATCTGACATCCTATCCCTCCCTCACATCCCTTTCCATGACGTTGATTTTTCAGCATCCGCGGACCCTCGTCATAGCCAACCTGCGACTCCCACACAAGACCACTTCGTGTTATGGAGAGAGCGTGATCCACCGCCGCTCTACTGTGGAAAATTGCCAACCTTTTCCTCTGGAGCCCGGGGGTCGCCTCCCCCCCCCCCTCCGAAAATCCCCCCCCCCTGCTGGAACCCCTCCGCCCCCCCCCCCCCCCCCTTTCCGCGCAAAAACCCCCCTCCCCTAACCCCCTCCCCCCCCCCCCCCCCTCCCGCTCGAAAACCGGGGGTCACTGGGGTTCGAACCCCTCCCCCCCCCCCCCTCCGGGGGGGGTCACTATACCGTTTCGAACCCCCCCCCCCCCCCCCCCCCCCCCCCCCCCCCCCCACCCTACTCACAGCCAGCAAACGACTCACCGCCAGCAAACGACTCCCGGTCCCCACCACCGTCCGCATCACATCCCCCACTGGTGTTCCCAGCACCACTGTCCTCACCACCGCTGTCCCCACTGGTTCCACCACCGCCCCTACTGTCCCCACCAGTGGCCCCACCACTGTCGCACTGTCCCCGCTGTCCCCAGAACTGTTCCCACCACGGTTCCACTCTCCCCACTGTCTCCACGGCCCCAACCACTGCCCGACTATCCCCACTGTCCCCACTGTCCCACTGACTCCTCCGCTGTCCCACTGAGCTGTCCCACTGTTCCCACCACTGTCCCTACTGTCCCCACCACTGTCCCCACTGTACCTCTGTCCCATTGTCCCACCGCCGTCCTCGCCACCGCCTTCACCACTGTCCCCACCACCATTGTACCCTCCACTGTCCCACTGTTTCCACCTCATTCCCATTGTCCCCACACCACTGTCCCCACCACCACCGTCACCACCACTGTCCACTGTCCCCCCCTGTTCCCACCATTGTCCCACCACTGTCCCCACCACTACCGTCCCCACCACTGTCCCACTGTCCCACTGTCCCCACCACTGTCCCGCTATCCCCTCACCACTGTCCCCACCAACACCGTCCCCACCACTGTCCGCACCCCCACTCGGTTTTCGAGGGGGGGGGGTTCGAACCGGCAGTGACCCCCCCCGGTTTTCCGGATCCGGAGGGGGGGGGGGGTTCGAACCGGTAGTGACCCCCCCCCCTTTTCATGATGAGCAGGGGGGGGGGGGGAGGGGTTCGAACCGGTAATGACCCCCCCCGGTTTTCCGGACGGGGGGGTTGGGGGGGGGAGGGGTTCGAACCGGTAGTGACCCCCCCCGGTTTTCCGCCAGCAGCGGTAGAACACGCTCTTTCTGTTATGCGCAATCGGAAAAAGGGGAGCTGCTTGCACAGGAGGAGGAGGAGGAGGAGGAGAAGGAGGAGGAGGGGGAGGAGGAGGAGGAGGAGGAGGAGCGGGAGGAAAAGGATGAGGACGAACATCAACCACAGGAACTAAAGCGGAAAGATAGGGAGGAAAAGGAGGACCAGGGGAAGGCGGAGGAGAGGCAATGAGGGGGGTGACAACGACGAGGAAAGACTCGGATTCAGAAAAGCGGCCCGCGCTGGAGCGACACGAACAGCAGCAGCAGCAGGAACTGGAGTGGAAGGAACGGGAGGGACAGGAGGACCAGGGGAAGGCGGAGGAGGGAGAATGAGGGGGGACCACAATAAAGCAAGACTCGGATATAAAATCCGCCGGCCCCCTTGTGGGGCCAACAGGCTGCGAGGCACGGGTTCGCAGTTTCCAGTACCAGTTGTAGCTTGTAGTTTCCAGTGTTACAGTTCTGCTTCTTGCTGGTTACTGTAACTAGTTGATTGACCGCGCGAGGGGGGGGGAGGCCCAAACGGGATTTTTAGCACCTCCTGGGCGCGTTGTCTGAATTGCTGGGGGGGCACGAAATCGACACCCCTCACGCAGATCCGCGGGGTCAGGGTCCAAAAACACAAGAGATTTGCCACATTTCTGAAATTCGGTGCCACCCCTCATGCAGATCCGCGGGGTCAGGGTCCAAAAACACAGGGGATTTGCCACATTTCTGAAATTCGGTGCCACCCCTCACGCAGATCCGCGGGGTCAGGGACCAAAAACACAGGGGATTTGCCACATTTCTGAAATTCGGTGCCACCCCTCACGCAGATCCGCGGGGTCAGGGTCCAAAAACACAAGAGATTTGCCACATTTCTAAAATTCGGTGCCACCCCTCACGCAGATCCGCGGAGTCAGGGTCCAAAAACACACGAGATTTGCCACATTTCTGAAATTCGGTGCCACACCTCACGCAGATCCGCGGGGTCAGGGTCCAAAAACACAAGAGATTTGCCACATTTCTGAAATTCGGAGCCACCCCTCACGCAGATCCGCGGGGTCAGGGTCCAAAAACACATGGGATTTGCCACATTTCTGAAATTCGATGCCACCCCTCACGCAGATCCGCGGGGTCAGGGTCCAAAAACACATGGGATTTGCCACATTTCTGAAATTCGGTGCCACCCTTCACGCAGATCCGCGGGGTCAGGGTCCAAAAACACAGGGGATTTGCCACATTTTTGAAATTCGGTGCCACCCCTCACGCAGATCCGCGGGGTCAGGGTCCAAAAACAAAGGGGATTTGCCACATTTCTGAAATTCGGCGCCACCCCTTACGCAGATCCGCGGGGTCAGGGTCCAAAAAACACAGGGGATTTGCCACATTTCTGAAATTCGGTGCCACCCTTCACGCACATCCATCGCAAGGCGTGGTAACCCAAACTGCGAGAACTCCCTCGGCCCTTTAATCGCAAGGTGTGGTAACCAAGCCCGTAAACCATACACGTCTTACCAGTCGCCAGGTGTGGTAACCCCTCTTGTGATCAGTTGGTTTTGCTGATTGCGAATCGGCTTCGCATGAAGTTTCGATACTGCTTCACGACAGCGCCAAGGCCTCATGACTTAGCTCTTCCATGGCCCATTCTCCGAGAGAGGGGGCCGGCAGGGGGCGAAGCCCTTACGGATAA